CCTGGGGGCTCTAGTACCCTATATAGTACGTACCTGGGGGGTTAGGGTAGGTTCCTGAGTAGTACCCTTTTGCGCTTTTTCTTGCGTGGTTCCCTTAGTATGTTTGAATATCAGGAGAAAGCGTACTCTTATTATTAAGGGGTCACTCAGGAACCTAGTTAGTTAAGAATCCAGAGGACCAAACAAGGAGGTGCTTTGGGTTAGGATAGTTGCACATAGCGCAGGCTTACGGGGCCAGCCCTGAGTGTCCAAAGGACGCTTAATCAGCTAGGCACGAGGGGAGTAGGCTAGTAGATTTGCGGTTAGGCTGTAGGAAGGTACTTGGGCCCTTGCAGTTGGTCTCTATATGCCCCTAATTACACCCCTAAACCCAAAACCCTAAACCCTAAACCACCCCTAAATCAGGTTTGAGTTTGGCCAAGCCGTGCTGAGGCGACAGTCCCCGCCAAGGGACCGCTCTATGGCACAGAGCTTTGCACCAAGCCGCTGATCTACATCATCTACCCGCTGTGCGAGCCCGTCTTCTTGGTGTCGGGGTTGTGACTGGCATCTTTGGACTTTGTTTTTGACCTTTTCTATCTTCCTCATAAGGACCAAAAGACCCTGAAGCATCTCTTGTTATCCGTTGTTGGACTTTGTTTTTGACCTTTTATCTTCCTCATAAGGACCAGAAGACCCTGCACAGTGGGCGCATGACACTCTAGCACTATGAACCCCATTTGGTAATTGAACCCTAAACGGCCCTAAACCCTAAACCCTCAAAACCCTAAAACCCTAACCCTAAAACCCTAAACCCTAAAACCCTAAACCCTAAACCCTCAAAACCCTCTAAGGGTACATTTCGCCCTTAAGGTGTGGGCATGATGCAGGAAGCAGACCAAAGGGCCAAGGGGTCCGAGGAATCTTCTTTTTGGCGAAGTCTGTGGTTCCTGTAGTCCCAAAGGTCATAGGATCTGCTTGGCAGGGCTTTAGGGTTTAGGGCGCAGGGTGTAGGGTATCGGGTGTATGGTGTAGCCTCTCAAGTTGATTTTTGTGGAGGGATTGGCTTTAGGACTTAGGGTTTAGGGCAGCAGGTGTGCCCGCTCTACAACTTTCCCATCGTCTTGGGCTTCTTCGCCGCCCTCGTCACGGTGATCAATCTGATCCTGGGTTCTTGTTAAAGGATTTAATTCAAGCTGCCATATCATATAACTATAGGGGTCTATAGTAAATTGATATGGCTTCCTCAGTATGGTAACGTAAATTAAATCCTTTAACTTACTTTTGAAAAAAGCCAGCCTTTTACTTTATTTGGGCTCTGATAATTTAGTAGTAATCTGAAAGCTTAACCTTTCATTTCCCTGACTTCTTGGGGAAGTAAGTAACAGCAACTTAAACTAAATCCTAAGCCCTAAACCTCTAAAAACCCCGAACAGCACTTGGAGGTTCGTGGGTAGTTATAAGTGGGGTTGTAAGTCCCTTAATATGGGTTATAACTATAGTTACCTTACTTATAGCCCCACTTATAACTACCCATGAACCTCCAAGTAAGCCCTAAACCCAAAACCCTAAACTCGAAGCCCTAAACCTCTAAAAATCCCGAACAGCAACTCAGGATCCTTCCAGAGACCCAGCCCGACGAGGACCTGCGCGTCGGCTGAGACGGGCTTGCCGGAGCATGAACCCAGCCTTGCAGGGCTGCAGATTGTAGCTAAATAAATACATAGATAGACATACATATATATATATACATATATATATATATATATCATATGATATCATATTATATATGTATAAGTAATTATAAGTACTGTTATTATTTTCATTTGTTGTTATTACTATCAGTAATTTTATATGGGTATTCGATTTAAGGCCTACGTAGGCCCTATAGAGCCTAAACTCCTGGAGCTTACCAAATGCAAGGTGTGGTAGATGGGAGTTGATGGCCATGCGTCATGCCATGCTTTCAACCCTTCAGTCCCCAATCCCGAAACCCTAAACCCTGAATCCCCAAACCCGAAGTCTTCCTCAATGCCAACGCCTTAAAATCCCCAGAATCCCAGCACCCTAAATCCCCTAACACCCTAAGTTGAGTCGAAGGTTAGAAGTATGGGCCCCTAATATGGACCCTTAGGCCACCCTTTAGGGTACATATAGGGTATATAGTAGGTATATAAGGATCCCAGCCTCAAGGGCCCATACTAGGGGCCCATAGGTTCCCCTAAACCCTAAACCCTAAACCCTTCAACCTTAGATTGAGAAGTGAGCAATTCTTCGGGAGTCCTGGGAAGCCCCGGGCATCCTAAGGAGGAGTCTTTACACCTCCCACTGCCGATTTAGGGTTTAGGGATTTAGTCTAGGGTTGAGGGATTTAGGGTTTCGTGTTTGGGGTTTATAGGGCCTAGGGGCTTTAGGCTTAGTTTTGGAGTCAGGCTTTGGGATTGTGGTTGTCGGGCTTGAAAACGACTTAAGACCCGGTCAGGATTCAGGATTTAGCGGGCTTGGAGGGTTTAGGGTTTAG